CCCACCCCCACAAAGAAGAGTCCAACCACAGCACAGCCAATATAATGATTAGACGTATCAAATGTAAACATTATTTTCCCTTTAACGTATTCTCAAAATTTGGCCAAACTCAGTATTTAATACGAAAACCCGGCCTCACAGCAGTGATGCATGTGGGACTATTTCTGGCATTCTCTTGCCTTATCAGATCACCCATAACAAAGACAGTCTAGAAAGAGGCCCGTTCCCTCTTTCAATTCAAAGGTTAGAACTGAAGTAAAGGCAGAGCAAGAGGAAACACACCCACACAAACTGCGGCAACTTTCACATCTGACATGACTGAATTTCATTCCAAGCAGGTTTTAATGATAGCTTTGCTATTTAGAAAATTCAAGTAAAATGCTCAAGTAAGGATGTTTCAATGCAAGAGGAAAACAGCGGCTACAATCTTAAAATTTTACTCCAAAATGGAATCAAGACCGACTCTGGCTGGTGGAGACCAGGTGGCAGGGACAGGCAGGTCCCATCCTCCCAAACCTGCACTGCTGAGAACCACAAGCTCCAGGCACTGCTAAGGGTGTCTGATCTCCACCATAAACTTAAGGTGTGATGATTTTCCCTTTTCCTCTGAGAGATCAGTTGGAGAGGACATGATGCAGGAATAACAGTTTTACGTTCTGGGTGAGAAAGTGCTACGCTGCACAGATTTGCTTAAAAAATTTGATTCTGGCAAGCTTCAGGTAAAAATCATTTTTAAAGGGTCAATTTTTCATTTACATATAACCAATACATCTTATTTACATATACATGACCCAATTTTCATTCAGCTTTCTTCATATGAAGTCTACATTTTAACTGGTATGTAACCGTTATATACTGTCTTTATAGAAAGACTAAATATCCTCTTATTCACAAGCAGTTCTGATGATAACAGTTTGTCTCCACATTGAGAACTGAATACAGTTAAAACTGAACTAAATAAAACTAAAGTTAAAACCTCAATGAATAACAAAGATGAAGACCTAGAGTTAACTCTGTGGAGGGCTGCATCAGCTACTCAAGGAGAGAGCAGCTGCATCTGAACACAAAGCAAGGATGACTGAACACATGGACGACGGCTTAACGCTGCTACAGACGTGAAATTCTTATACTGGATTCATTTTTTCTTTTCAAAAAACACTGATTTTTCTAGTGATGTTTAACTTTAAAAAGTTATCTTAGTTCTTAACCCTCAAAGAACTGCTATATTTAGGCTGCTAACCAAAAAAATAATCAAGAGCATGTACCTTTGTCCATAGTCTTCAAGGGTTAAAGTGCAAGAACTGTCTATAACCTGGTATATGAGGCACCCAATTCCACTTTTTTCTTAAAAGAAGCCTTTCCTTTGGTCTCTTGCAGTTTTTCACTGAGCCTGTCCTTTGTCTCCTCCAGCTTCTCTGTGAGGAGCTCTTTTGTCTCCTCCATCCTGTCTTGCGGATACTCCTTCACAGGAGGTGGCATCGAGATGTAGCCGCGGCTGTGCAGATACTTCACAGTGAAGGAGGTCCCCCCCAGGGTTACAGTGTACTGCGTAGGCATTGCAATCTTCAACAGGGCATATGCTGTTAGTGCATTTCCACTCTGGGAATTTTTCAGAATGTTTACTACGCTGTCAGGTAACCCAGTAAGTTCTAGAAAAGGAACGCCATTCACTCCTTTTACGGCTGCATAATAAAACATTCCAAACCAAACACCAGAAGTTATTAGATGCACTGGAATCAAAACTTTCCCATATTATCTAAATGTTTTCTTTTTTAAAAAATAAATTTATTTATTTTTATTTATTTTATTTTTGGCTGTGTTGGGTCTTTGTTGCTGCGTGCGGGCCTTCTCTAGTTGCAGTGAGAGAGGGCTACTCTTTGTTGTGGTGCGCCAGCTTCTCATTGTGGTGGCTTCTCTTTGTTGCGGAGCATGGGCTCTAGGCGCACAGGCTTCAGTTGTTGTGGCACGTGGGCTCAGTAGTTATGGCTCGCGGGCTCTAGAGCACAGGCTTAGTAGTTGTGGCGCACGGGCTTAGTTGCTCCGCAGCATGTGGAATCTTCCCGGACCAGGGCTTGAAACTTTGTCCCCTGCATTGGCAGGCGGATTCTTAACCACTGTGCCATCAGGGAAGCCCTAAGTGTTGTCTTAAATCGTTGGTAAGGACTAACTGATCTGTCTTGTAAAGGCTCAGGTTCTTCCTTTTTTTTGGAGGGAGTTCCTGGGGATGTAGCACTGGATGACAGAACCCTCTTGGATAAGATATCCTGCTCCCACTGTTATGGTGAAGGACCCCTGGTTGGCGTGTATGAGCAATGAGTGGCTTCCTTTCCTTTGCAGCACACTGGGCAGCAGGTAAGTGCAGCCATCGTTTCCGAGGGCCCGGTACCCAAACCACTCTGGATTCCGACATATAAAAAAGTAATGGCTCCTTTGACAGTGTCCCCAAAGACCAGCTTTATCTGGTTCCATGCATGTCCTACATGCCAGTCGGAATACAGTCTTTGGTACATTTCATCGCATTTTGAAGAACGGAGATTGATGGATTTCAGCTTCCATAGAGACTCAGGACCTGACGCTGCTGCCGCCGCTCCCCGCTGTGCGGCTGCTCCAAGCCCCTCCACCGTCCCTCCAGAGTGACAAGCCGAGCGTGGGTCAGGGTGCTGGAAGCTGCGGGCTCAGGCGACTCAGCTTCCAGCCCGCCCACCCGACACACCAGCTCCACCAGCCACCCGCTCGCACCCGCTCTTGCCGGTGCCCTCAGTACGGCCTGATTTTTTTTTAAAGCAACAATTAGTATGGCTGAACTCAAGATCTGGGCACAGTTCATAAATAGAATTTGGGGCTCCCCCTCTGTACTTCTTTCCAGAATTTCCCCCTCATTTTCTGGTGCTATGGTAGCTTCCAAGTATATCATCTGGTTATTCAAGCTAGTGACCACACTAAGACTGTGGGGTTTTCTTGTCTTTGTTTTCAATAAATTTATTTTCGGCTGCATCGGGTCTTCGCTGCTTCGCATGGTCTTTCTCTAGTTGCGGTGAGCGGGGGCTACTCTTTGTTGTGGTGCGCAGGCTACTCCTTGTTGCGGTGTGCGGGCTTCTTACTGCGGTGGCTTCTCTTGTTGTGGAGTACAGGCTCTAGGCGTGTGGGCTTCAGTAGTTGTGGCTCGCAGGCTCTAGAGCGCAGGCTCAGTAGTTATGGCGCACAGGCTTCGTTGCCCTGTGGCATGTGGGATCTTCCTGGAATAGGGCTCGAAACCATGTCCCCTGCATTGGCAGGCGGATTCTTAACCACTGCACCACCACGGAAGTCCCTAGACTGTGATTTTTTTAAATCGAGTTTTAGCCCTTGCACTCCCACATCAACTGGGGCTTGCCCTCAGGTAAAAAAAACATGCAAAAACCGTTTATTTATCCAAGCAACACCCTATACTTCCACGTGTCAACTCCCTTCCAGTGTCTGCCTGCTTTGGTCACTCTCCTGTGCCTTCAGGTCATTGCTTCTTATATTTATCTTATAAACCAGAGTGTACAGTTATTATTTGTTGAAGGGTTAGTATGAGGGAAACTATTCTGCCATTACTGGAAGTAAACGCAATCACTTTAAATTTTATCGTTAAGAACAGAGTTATGAATTTAACTCTTCCAGTTTTAATCACATTCTGTAGTTTTAATTTGCAATGTTTTTATTTTCTAAGTATCTGATAATAATATTTTTATTATTCCTTAATCAAGTAGTTATTTAAAAGAGTGCTTTAAATTTCCAAGTAATTAGGGTTTTTTTGTTCTTAATATGAATTTTTAGTTTTATTGTATTACGGTCAGAAAATGTGGCCTGTACAATTTCCCTTTCTTTGAATTTTATTAATAATTTTTGGTTGCTGAATATTTGATAATTTTGTCTGAGAAGAAGATTATATATCAATTAACTCTATCTTATTAAAAGAGTTTGTGTGTTGATAGAGTTTAAAAAAAGCATTTAAAGTACCTGTGGTTTTCAAACAATTTTTTTGGTGCCATGGAAGCTTTTGTTCAAAAGAAATACTTATTCATTTACAAATAAAACAGATCATAAAACAAAACAGCGCTGGTTCTACTTGGGAGGTGGAGATGTGGAGTGGTGGGAAGCTAGAGCCCAGCCCACTAGATTCTTCTTTCCTTTTGGCTACCTGTGGAGATTCTTTAAAGATGGAAGAGGAGTGGTTCAGGAGTGGTAATGTGAAGGACTCAACGTGCTGTTGCTGGCTTTGAAGATGTGCACTATGAGCCACGGAATACAGTTTCTCTAAAAACTGGGAATGGCTCTCAGCTTTTAGCCAACAAGAAAACAGGGACCTCGGTCTTACAACCATAAGGAACTAAATTCTGCCAACAGCTCGGAGGAGCAGAAAACGGATTCTCTAGTCTCCAGAAAGGAACACAGCCTGCTGACACCTTGATTTTAGTCACGAAAACTTTACCAGACTTCTAACCTACAGAACTATAAGATAATAAATCTATGTTGTTTTAAGCCACTAAGTTTGCGGCAATTATTACGACAGAAACAGAAAGCTAAAACATAAGTATGGATCATTTTTAATATTTAAACTACACCCTATCTTGGCCTATCACCATTCCAGCCAAGTTTATACTGCTTATCACTGTTATAGAATACACAGGTCCATATACATAAATTAACATAAAAACATTGAGTATTTTTAAATTGCTAATATGTTAATGACTTCAGATACTATGCATAATGCCATCTCTGTCAGTATTCCTAGAAACTGTTATGCTTTGATTTGCAGGAAGGAAACGAATTTTGTAAAAGTTGTTCTTCTTGGTATTATGTTTTTCAATCAGGTATCTACCTTGTTTTAAAAACAAGGTGAAATAGATGATAAATTCCAGAGCCATTGGATAATCTGTTTTTAAACCTTCCAAGGATGGGAAAAGCATGTCCCTGAAATAGATCAAGAGCTCACCTTCATTTATCAAATACCTAGCTTTCAGAGAGATACTCACTTATTCAAATCAATTTCGTAAGTTTGCATATGAGGTTTATCTCCAGTCTTGTCTGGGTCCCATCGATAGATGGCAAATTTCTTGATTCGGGGAGCTGTGGCTGCAACTGTCTGGGCCCCACGGCAGGCCTGAAATTTAAAAAGTTCACAAGAAGGAAAAAAAAAATCATTAAAAATGCAAGATAAATCCTTCATTTAGTTGCCACTATAAACTGCAATACTGGATACAAACCCACACATTACTGACACAGTCTTGGAATAGGCAGTCATCCAATATCCAACACACAATAATAAGTACCTGTAATATGCCAGACATGGTGCTGGGGGCTGATGAAATGGTGCTTAATAAAACAGACATAGCCTTTGCCCTTATAGAATCTACTTTGTAGTGAACAAGAAATGAAATATTCACAATGAAGTGTAGAGAGGGAAGAATGCAGCAGAGACTTGCACTAGTCTAAGTGGTCGGGGAAGGCTCTATAAATGATACTTAAGCTGAGGCTTGATGTATAGGGATGAAGGGGAAGGAGAACAGGGTGTTATAAACCTAGGAACAACACATGTAGAGGCCCGGGTGGGGGAGAGCACAGGCACCTGTGAGGACAGAGAGAAGTCCACTGTAAAGCAGGGTGACTTGACAAGGGATGGAAGAGTGGCAGACTCAAGGAAGTTAAGAAAGACTTGTAAGTTTTGATTTTATCCTAAGAGCAATAAGAAGCTAATAAAAATTTATCAGGTGGGTGACACAATCATTTTTCTTTTTGAGAAGAACATCACTGGCTTACAAAGGAAGAACTGTCACATGACATCTGGGGAAACCAGTTAGAAAGCCACTGCAGTTGTCAAAATGAGATGCTGGTGTTTTTAGATTAGGTGTCTTAGTCTGGGCCATTGTAAAAAAATCCAAAGACTGGGTGGTTTAAACAACAATCATTTACTTCTCACAGTTTTGGAGGCTGGGAAGCCCAAAATCAAGGTGTCAGCAGATCTGATGTCTAGTGAGGACCTTCTTGGTTTGCAGAGAGCTACATTCCTGCTCTATCTTCACATGTTGGAAAGGGATCTCATGTCTTTTCCTCTTTTTATAAAGGCATTAATCCTATCATACAGGTCCTACCCTCATGACCTAATTTAACCCTAATCCCCTCTCATAGGCCCCATTTTCAAATACCACCACAGTGGGGATTAGGGCTTCCACATATGAATTTTGGAGGAACACAAACATTCCATCCATAGCATTATGGCAGGAAACAAGATAAAGAATATTGTATCTTAAAATAAATTTAGGGAACTAACAAACAGCTGAGACCTGCTCTCTCTGATGATTCTGTTCCACCTCCTGGGCACTTACAGTCCCTGCCAGTGGGTTTCAGACAGCGAGCCAAGGAATCCTACAGTGCCACCCAAGGGCTGCCGGGATAGGATAAGGTTAAGAGGGTAGGCCTGACTTCTCTCACTCCTTCAGCCAGAACAGCCTCCCCATAAAAACATATTTGCAAAAAGGGTGCTGTTGCTCAAAAAAAAGTTTTATATTTAAGTTTATACTCATTAAAAAAAACACTATTATTGCCTGGCACCAAATTAAATGCTTTATATTAATTACTCCATTGAATCTTCATTTTAAAGATGAGAAAAATGAGGCTCTGAGATCAAGTGATGGGCCCATGATTACAGAGCTGGTGAGTGGAGCCAGGATTGGAACCCAGGTCTGTCTGTCTCCAGAACCCATGCTCCTAAACACTATATTATTCATTTGTGAACATTCTCAGGTCTCTCCTTGGCGCCGTTTTCTTCTCTTTACGTCTTAACTCCTTAAGGGCAGGTGTATTAGTTAGGGTTCTCCAGAGAAACAGAACCAATGGTGTATACATATATATACACATATAGGAAAAGAGATTTACTATAAGGAATTGGCTCACGTGATTACAGGGGATAACAAGTCTCAAGATCTGCAGTTGGCAAGCTGGAGAGCCAAGGGTATAGTTCTAGTCCAAAGGCCAGCAGGCTCAAGACCCAGGAAGAGTCGTTATTTCAAGTCCAAAGGCAAGAAAAAAAATCAGTGTCTTAGTTTGAAAGCAGTCAGGCAGGAGGAACTTCCTCTTATTCGAAGGAGGGTCAGCCTTTTGTTCTACTGAGGCCTTCAGTTGATTGGATAAGGCTCACCCATGTTAGGGAGGGTAATGTGCATTACTCAGTCTATCAATTTTTTAAATTTAATTAAAAATTTTTAATACAATTTTATTTTTTTACTTTATTTTCTGGCTGCGCTGTGTGGCTTGTGGGATCTTAGTTCCCCGACTAGGGACTGAATGCCGGTCCTCGGCAGTGAAAGCACAGAGTCCTAACCACTTACTGTATACAGTAGGTCCCCTACATAAGAACCTTCAAGTTACAAACTTTCAAAGGTGCGAACGTGCATCTGGTTCCAGCAAGGAACCATCTCCCACCTGCTCTCCCTCCTCCCGTCAGTAATTCTTCTTGTCTGTTCACTCGATGCCAGCCCCTGTACGCCAGCTGTTATACTGTACTACTGTACTTTTAAGGTACTGTACTGTAAGATTAAAAATGTCTTCATCTTTTGTGTTTGTTTTTTATGTATTATTTGTGTGAAAAGTATTACAAACCTATTACAGTACTGTATAGCCGATTGTGTTAGTTGGGTACCTAGGCTAACTTTGTTGGACTTACGAACAAACCGGACTTACGAACGCGCTCTCGAACGGAACCTGTTCGTATGTAAGGGACTTAACTGTAATGCTAAGCTGCCCCCATCCCATAGTCCTTGAAGCCCTTTTGCATTTAGGCAGATGAAACAAGGTCTCAACAAGTCCTGCTGAGCTTCCACTATGGTGATGAGGGATCCTGCCAGTCCAAAGAGCACTTATAAGTTGAAGATAGAAATATTCAGATGGTATTCCAGGCCAGCTATTTCTCTTATACACTGTTAAAGAAAGTAAAAACTCTTAAGGTTAACTGAGTAATTACAAGAAATGCAATGGAGTTTATTACTTGCTGGCAAAAACCGCCCCAAATTAAGTGAAGCTGAAAATATCAGCTCTCAGCATAAAAGAAGAGAATATATGAAGAAAATGAAAGTGAAGGTGAGGATGAAAGCTGTATTTTATCTTATCACCAAGCTGGCTAAGATCCTTAATAAAAGGAAAGTCATTTCTGCAAATGAACACTCTTCACTAGGGGCTCCAATGTGAAATGACAGGAACGTTTGGCTAATGCCACCTTGTGGTGTTTAAGAGGAAGTGGAGGAAGTGAAAAGATTCCTGAAGACATTATTATTATTTTTTGGCCGCGCTGCATGGCTTTCGGGATCTTAGTTGCCCGGAACCTGCAACCTCGGCAGTGAAAGCGTGGCGTCCTAATCACTGGACCACCAGGGAATTCCCTCTTGAAGATATTAGCTCCAGCCGCTTTCGCTTGCTTAACACACCCCCTTTTTTGTTTTTGTTAGATTTAATGAGGTATATTCATTACAAAAAAATTCACTAATTTTAAGTGTATAATTTGATGAGTTTTGATAAAGTTATATAACTTCTACCACAATTATGACAGAATATTTCCATTCAGAAAGTTCTCTAGTGTTTCTCTGCAGTCAGCACTCTCTCCCTACCCCTGGCAATTGATCGGCTTTCTATCACTACAGATTTGCCTCTTATAGAATTTCATATACCTGCCATGTGACAATACATCTTGAGTCTAGCTTCTTTCACTCAACACGATGCTCTGAGACTCATTCATGTTGTTGCATATATCCACAGATTTGTTAGTTTAAATTACACTTCTCATTTGGAAATAACTGTAGAATCACATGCATTTATGAGAAATACTACTGAGATCCCGTGTCCTCTTCACTCAATTTCCCCCAGTGGTAACACTGTACAGAACTACAGCACAGTGTCATAGCCAGAGTATCCCCACGGATACGGTCCAGGCACAGAGCATCATTCCCAGCCCGGCAAAGACCCGCTCTTTTACAGCCACAGCCATGCCCCTCAGGCCTCCCATTCCCACTCCTTCACCCCTAGCGATCACTAATCTGTTATAGTTCTGTCATTTTGTCATTTTAGGAATGTTATATAATGTAATCATCTCATATGTAATTTTGGGAGACTGGCTTTTTTTCCATTCAGCATAACTCTCTAGAGACTCAGCCAAGTTATGTGCCTCAACAGTCATTTCTTTTTATTACCACGTAGTGTTCCATGGTCCGATGCACCTCAGTTTGTTGTCATTCACCCACTGAAGGATATGCAGGTTGTTTCCAGGTTTGGGCTATCATGAATAAAGTTTAATGAACATCTGTGGACAAGTTTCTGTGTGAACATAAGTCTCCATTTCTCTAGGATAAATGCCCAGGAGTGTAACTGCTGGGTTGTATGGTAGTTATATGTTTAACTTTTTAAGAAACTGCTAAAGTGTTTCCCAGAGTGGGCGGCTGCTATGCCTGAGGCAGGTAGTAGGGGGAAAGGGATAAAATGCCTTTAAAAAATATACAGGGGGGCTTCCCTGGTGGCGCAGCGGTTAAGAATCTGCCTGCCAATACAGGGGACACAGGTTCGAGCCCTGGTCTGGGAAGATCCCACATGCCACAGAACAACTAAGCCCGTGAACCACAACTACTGGGCCCGCGCTCTAGAGCCCGCGAGCCACAACTACTTAGCCCACGAGCCACAACAAGCCCATGCGCCTAGAGCCTGTGCTCCGCAACAAGAGAAGCCACCGCAATGAGAAGCCCGCGCACCGCTACAAAGAGTAGCCCCCGCTTGCCACAACCAGAGAAAGCCTGCGTTCAGCAACGAAGACCCAATGTAGCCAAAAAAATTAAAACAAACAAACAAAAACCCCACACAACAGAATATCTGAAGGCGATAAGGCCCAACATAAGTTTTGGGGTACCCCAAAGTGTCACTAATTTTTTTCCAAAACAATTTAAATTCATTTTGAGTTTCGTATACAACGTATTTTATACAACATTTGGTGGGGTAAGGGGAGGCTAAAAGGAATGAAGAGAGAAGATACTGAAATCAAAATGGCCAGGGCAGGTTGTGGTTCTAAAAGTGATGGAACTTTGTTCATCTTGAGGGCTGAACTAAGAGTTAATCCATAGGATTATGGGAGCTGTGATTAAAACATTCCCCAAACAAAGAAATCTAAAAATTTGTTCTGTAGGTGTCTATGTAGTAGAAAGTAATAATAATAGCTTTCATCACTCAGCCCTTACCACGTGCCAGATGTCGTACTAAATTATGTCTAATCTTTACAACATCTCTATGAGGAAAGTTTTTTATTCTTAATTAAAAAATGAGAATAAGGTCATATAACAGAAGAGCCAGTATTCAAACATAGGTCATCTGACTCCAAAGTCCAATCTTTTAGCTGTATATAGTGGTGAAAATGCAAATCCAAAACAGAACAGCACAAAAAGATAATTCCTCTCCCCCAAAAGATCCACAGAGCAAAAGTTTTTACTCTACTTATATAATCAGCAAGATTTTAGGCGGTAGTTGGTCCAGATATAGTCATTCACTTATTTGTTCAACTACTATGCTCCAGGGACTGTTCTGGGCTTTGGGGGGATCAAGGACCAAACAGACATACATCCCAGCCCTGTGCAGCTTACACAGTGATTGGAGGAGACGCACACAAATAAAACCTATAGTCAGGTGGCGATAAATGCCATGACGGGGGTGGACGGAGGGGTAGAAGGGGAACAGGGATCCTGGAGACAACTCTAAATGGGGTGGCCAGGGAAGACTTCACTGAAAAGCTGACACTAGAGCAAAGACCCAAAGGAGGTAAGCAAGCCACATATAAATCTAGGGGAAGAGCACAGAACGCAGAGGGAGCACGGAGCACAAAGATCTTCAGGTGGGAATGTGTCTGAGGAGAAATGAGGCGCCGGTGGTAGCTGAGAATGGAGTGAGTGAGAGGGACAGGAACAGGAGAGGAAATCAGGACGTTAATGGAAGAACCAGACCACGCAGGGCCTTGGAAGGACTTTTGCTTCTACCCCGAGTAAGATGGGAAACTACTGTAAGGTTTTGAGAAGAGGAGTGACAAAGACAAGTTTTGAAAGGATCATGTTGTCTCCTGTTTTGAGAACCAACTGTAGAGGTGCAAAGATGAAAGCAAGAAAAGCAGGAACTGCGATAATCAGCTAAGAGATGATGATGGCTTGAACGAGGCTGGTGGTTGTGGAAATGGTGAAAAGCAGTTGATTTTTAAATACACTTTAAGAAGGAACTGACAGATTTGCTTACAGATTGGGAGTGAGGCAAAGAGTAAGGATAACTCCAAAGCTTTTGGCCCAAGCCACGTGAAGGATGAAGTTGCCATCAACTGCGATGGGAGGGAAAGTTGGTGTGTGTGGCAGGATTTTGGTTTTAGGCAAGCAAAGTTTATTAAATATCCATGAGGAGATTTTGAGAATATAGTTGGGTGGCCATCTGAATCTGAAGATTTGGGGTGAAGTCTGGGCTGGAGACATAAATTTAGAAGGTTTCTAAAGCCCAAAGGAGTGTCTATAAAGACGAGGCCTAAGGACTGAGCCACAGCATTTAGAATTTGGGGCAAAAAGGAGAAATCAGCAAAGGGAGACAGAAAGAACTGCCAACGTGCAAGGTGGAAAACCTGAAGCCTGGGAGGTCCTGGGAGTCAGGCCAAAAAAAGTGTTTTGAGGAGCGAGTAAACAATATGCTTCAGAGAGCAAAGTACCATGAGAACTGACACTGGATTTAATAAAGCCAAGGTCACTGGTGACCCTGACCCAAGTACTTTCCGTAAAGTGGTAAGCGCGAAAAGTCTGACTGGAATAGGTTCATGGGAAGATGTGGGGAGATGAACTGTTGTCAGCGAGTTTAGACACCTCTTGAGACATTTTTCTATAAAGACGAGTGGAGAACTGGGGTGGTGGCTGGATCCAGCTTTTCTTTGTTTTTTTTTTTTAAGACAGAAGAAATTACACCATGCTGTGTGCTGCTGCTGCTGATCCAACAGAGAAGGAAAACCTGATAAGGCAGGGGAGAGGGGAGACTTTCTGGAGAGCTATCTTTGCCTCTTTATTTTTTCACATACAAATCTTGTGGGGTCTTAGTTCCCTGACCAGGGATTGAACCCATGACCCCTGCAATGGAAGCGTGGAGTCTTAACCACTGGACGGCCAGGGAATTCTCATGGAGAGCTATCTTTTTTTAAAAAAATAAATTTATTTATTTATTTTATTTTTTATTTTTGGCTGTGTTGGGTCTTTGTTGCTGCACGTGGGCTTTCTCCAGTTGTGGTGAGCTGGGGCTACTCTTCATTGCAGTGCACGGACTTCTCACTGTCGTGGCTTCTCTTGCTGCAGAGCATGGGCTCTAGGTGCGCAGGCTTCAGCAGTTGTGGCAAGTGGGCTCAGTAGTTGTGGCGCACGGGCTTAGTTGCTCCGGGGCATATGGGATCTTCCCGGGCCAGGGCTCGAACCCATGTCCCTTGCATTGGCAGGAGATTCTTAACCACTGAGCTGCCAGGGAAGCCCTGGAGAGCTATCTTTGAATAAGCAGTGGGACAGAAAGCACGAGTGAAGGGCAGCCAGTGGAGTGCTGCCGACTGTCCCACAGTAACAGGCAGAAAAGGAGGGTATACAGGAGGAAGTGGGGAGGTGGGCAAAAATTTGAGTTTTTTTTTCTTTGTAGCCTGTCCAGAAATTTATACCACAAACCCATGACCAAGGTGGCGGGGCGGGGGGGGTCCTTCAAAAGCATTTCTACCTCAATCTACAAAACTAGTGAGTATTCAGGGCTTAGCGCACCTTTGTAGGAAATCTTGGATAAGATGAAACCCACAGTTTATAATTTAAGGGAAGAAGCAAGATCATCAACAACTGGACTGAAACTGGACGGAGGATGAGAAGGGGGAATTCTGGTTCATGCTGAAGGCAGCTTGTTATGTCCCTAGGAAATCTTCCTTAAGGAGCAGGCTTGGAGCTAGATGTGTGAGTGGCATGGGTCCAAATCCAAGCTCTACCACTTAGTAGCTGGATGTTCTTTGGCAAATTACTTAACCTTTCTGATTTTATTTCCTCTTTTGTAAGAAGGTTGGGAGTATTAAAATCTAGCTCATAGGATTAACTAGAGGGCCAAGTTTCTAGCATGGCTCAGGAAATAAGTTCTGCTTTTCAGTATTGGCAACCGTACCAGTTCTCGTATTATTCTGATTGGCAGATAGGTATCCTACGCCCTGCCAGTGCTAGGAGCAATGATATACACAACTGAAAGTAGGTGGTAATTGCCTTCAAGGAATACAGAGTCTAGACGAAGAAATGAGGCACCACCACAAACAACAGTTAATACATTACAGTTAAATACAGGCAGAACTGTGGTTCGGTGGTGCAAACTAAATAAAAGGAATTCAGAAGAGAAATCCTACTGTGTCCTGGACTCCTAGGAACCTGCGTGTACCCAGAGCTAATACACCAAGCTCATTACTTTTCAGGTGGCTTTTGTGGGTCTGAATGCATATTCCTACAAGGGGGTGCATGTGTGTGGGAATCTTCTATTTTCTCTGCCCTCAGGAGGCCCTACAAGGGCCTCACTTGGAATTGCAACACTGACCTATGAAACCAGCCTTTCCTATAATTCATGCTTGGAAGAGGGACCTGAGCTTTAGAACTCACTCTCATTGGTGGGGTTCTCACAACTTAATTGCCTGCTCAGCAGCTATAAAAGGAACTGGTAAAAATGTCGTTACCAATCACCTATTTAATGTTCAGAGGGCACCAGCTTGAGGTTCTGGTAGGCAGTCCTCTTTCTCAGCCCTCCTTCTCAGGAAGACTGTAAAATGACTTGTCTAAGTTCACGTATAGCATAGTGGAAAGAGCTAGCATTAGAAGATGGGCCATATGCACGGTGCTGTGCAGCCAGAGCAGTTTCTTACGATGAGACATATTCTCATGGGAGTGCAAGAAGAGGAGAGGACCGAATATTTCTTGTACACCTACCATGTGCCCAGATCTGTGCTAGGAGTTTTTCACACATTATGTTCAAAACACTGAGTTTAGGTCCTGGAACAACTGGTTCTTGGCTGCGATATTTTTGAGCAAGTAAAAAAATCTTCTTTCTGGGGCCTCAGTTTTCAAATCTCTAAAAAGGAAGTTAGAATTCCTGCTCACCCACCTTACAGGGTTTTTTCAGGAGCCCAGAGGAGGAAAAAAGATTTGAAAGATATTTGTAATACCTCAGTCCCTGATATACACAGATTGCAATGGCAGTTTCCCTTCCCCTTCTACCTGTTTCCATTTAGAATGCAGATCAGAAGTGTGTAGTTTCCTGACAATACAAGGGGCGTGGAGGAAACGTATCAATGCACCCGCAATAATATAAACAAGAGCAGTGCCAAGCTCTGTACCTGTGATCCAAGCCCAAACTCTTTCGGTATTATGATACGTCCTTTACAGACAGGGATACTGAGAGGATGACGCTGCTTTAAGGAACCCAGATAGATCCTCAGGGGGCTGAGTGGATTTCCTCCCTTCCCCTCTTTACTGAGCCCTCAACCTTTGCACCCCGGAGGAGTGCCTCGCCTCCCAGTCCCATCCTTCACGCTCCGGCGGTTCTTTCTCAGAGGGGATGGTTTGGTGGCAGAAAAAGGGCCTGGCGTTCAAATGTTTGGACTCGAATTCTGCTTCCAAGCCAGTCGTCACTCGCTCGCCATGTGACCTTGGGCAATTCAAGTCCCCTCTCTGAACTTCTTTTTTATTCTTATGTCTAAAAAAGTCCTCTCCGCCCAGACCAACTCACAGGCTGCAGAGAGGTGCAGAAAGATAACCAGCAGGTATGCTCCCGTCCAAAATCAGAGCCCTGAGCAAGCGGGAGCTGGTATCCTCCTTCCCCTGGCCCTGTGCTCCCCTCAATCTCCTCCGCCGCCCCCTCAACTGCAAGCCATCTCTGTGACTTTCATCCCTGCCCTTCCCACCCCAGAGCCGAAGCTCACCTGCAGGCAAGCTCTGCCAAGGGTTGTGGCCGGGAACCGGCGCCTCAAGGAGACTGCGACCACCGCCGCCATCTTAGATCCTGACGTCGAGCCCCACCCCTTAACCCCTGTCACTCTCCGCCGGCGTCCCGCCGAGCACCGCGGCACCGAGCCAGGATCCACCGAGGACCCGCTAGCCGCGCAGGAACCACCGAGTGGGAGGCGGCTTCCGGTTTTCTGAGGGGGAGGAGGGAAGGAGGAGAAAGCCAACAAGAGCGTGCGCAGTTGCGGTGGGCTCAGCGCATGCCCACTTGGCTTCCCGCGTTGGAAGGTGACCTTCCTCAAGGAAGGGGGCGGAGTCTGAAAAGGAGGGCAGTGGAAAGGGGTGGGACAAAGAGCATGATGGGGCGGAGCCATCTGATACAAGTCTTAATACGATTTTTTTTTTTTTGCGGTGCGCGGGCTTCTCACTGTTGTGGCCTCTCCCGTTGCGGAGAACAGGCTCCAGACGCGCAGGCTCAGCGGCCATGGCTCACGGGCCCAGCCACTTCGCAGCATGTGGGATCTTCTCGGACCGGGGCACGATCCTGCGTCCCCTGCATCGGCAGGCGGACTCTCAACCACTGCGCCACCAGGGAAGCCCCTTATCCCGATTTTAACCCCTTTCTTCCTGAACATTTATCAATCAATCACGTCACTCAACTCTGTCGCTGAGTTCTGTCAGACACAGTGCGGTTTGCCTGAGACTGTCCAGGTTTCAACACTCCCACATCCTGAGAACCCCCTTAGTGGCGGACAAATCAGGGGGGTTGGTGAATGAACCGAGGGGACTTCAAAGATGACCGGCAGAAGTGTCATTCATTCATTCATTAATTCTGATCTCGGGTGGCCTCCGCCTTGCAGCGGCTTGAAAGAGGGTTTCAGTTCCTGGCCAGTGATTGAGGTTAGGTCGCAGCGGTGAGAGCACGAAAACTAGCCACTAGTCCACTGGTCAGTGGCAAGGCCTTGTTTCTTCAGCTTTGCAGAAAAAGAATTCCCACAAAGACGGAAAGTAGTGAAACAAGTAAAGTGTTTATTAGGAGAAAAAAAAGAGTACAGTACGTGTGGATAGATACACGGGCGGACTCATAGAGAGAGTCGCACCCTTTTGGTTTGAATCACTTTTATGGGGCATTTCTTCCGGGTTTCCTTTGATTAGTCATCTTGCTTTGCCTGGTTCTGAGTCGGTATTTGGTATATCTCAGGGTCCTCCCCTGTGTGCGTGCACATCTCTTAGCCAAGATGGATTGTAGTGAAGAGGCCTATGGGTATTTCACATCACTTACTATGAGGTGGCGCCCCCCTCCTCCCTTTTTGACCTCCAAGGAGCCTTTCTTTTTTCTTTTTTTTTTTTTGCGGTACGTGGGCCTCTCACTGTTGTGGCCTCTCCCGTTGCGGAGCACAGGATCCAGACGCGCAGGCTCAGTGGCCATGGGTCACGGGCCCAGCTGCTCTGCGGCATGTGGGATCTTCCCGGACCGGGACACGAACCCGTGTCCCCTGCATCGGCAGGCGGACTCTCAAACACTGTGCCACCACGGAAGCCCCCAAGGAGCCTTTCTGCACATGTGTAGTCGAGGAGGTCTCCCTGATTCCAAGAATGAGGAATAGGTGGTCTTTTATCTCTTATCTGGTCAGGGCCCAACTCCTCCATCATCCTGTTTTTATGGAGTTTCTGCTATTATGGAGTTTCTGTCCACAGAGGAGAAACTGTTCAGCCTGGGGCCCATCTATCTCCTGCCTCAATTCATTTGTTTGTTCGTTCCTTTGTTTGTTCAAAAATCTGCATGGAGCACCTATTATGTGCCAGGAGCTGGGGTGCTACAGTGTGTGAAGCCAGGCATGGTTGCTGCCCTCACTGAATTTACTCTCAATAGGCAAGCAACTGGACGATTGCAATACAGTAAGCTCTGTTCTGTAAAAGAGGGGCGAGAAGGGAACCAGGCCCTTCATGGCTTAGCCATTTAGTGTCAGAAACCATTTCTTGAACACCTGCTATGTACCAGACGTTATGATCCATCATCTTACATAATCCCCACAACAGTCCTATGAAAGTGTTGTGTGTGTGAGTGTGTTTTTTTTAAAATTACTTTTTACTGGAGTATAGTTGCTTTACAATGTTGTGTTAGTTTCTGCTGTGCAGCAAAGCGAATCAGTTATACGTATATATATATCCACACTTTTTTTAGATTTCCTTCCCATTTAGATCACCGCAGAGCATTGAGTAGAGTTCCCTGTGCTATACAGTAGGTTGTGTGACTGTGTTTTAAGGCTCCATTTCAGTCATCTCAGCTGCTTTTTCCAGACCCCTGCTTAGTTCATCTCAGACCTGGGACCTGGGACCTGAGACCCTTTTCTGCAGTGCTTGTACCTGGACAAATGGCTCCTGGAGCAACAAAATATAAAGAAACTATAAGGGACTAAAAATAACTGCATTCATGTGCAGTTTGGGCAAATGATGGACAACAAGATACAAAAAGACCAAAAACCCAACTGCCACTTCTGAAGAGCCGGGAGCAAAAGCAGGGTACCGCGCATGCCCTCTGCATACACCACCACCAAAGGGGAGGACAGATCCCCTAAGCCACCCCTCTGGCCTGACCCCTGGACACACCCCAACCCAGCTCACCCCTCCTCAGTGAGCCAGTAAGGGAACCTGTAACTTGTTCTCACTCCCCACTGTTGCAGCAGGAGCCCCAATAAAGCCTTGCCTGAATTTCTTTTCTGGCCTTTTATCAATTTCTATTAAGGAGGCCAAGAACATTGATCGGTAACAACTCTGGGGGCTTGATTACCTTGGGCAGGTGTGGCCTCTGTCTTCCAAGTCACATGGTCTCTTCAGTCACCTCCCGCAGTTCATGTAGTTAGCTAACTTTGCAGGTACCTGTGTTTCCCAGGATGATGTTTTTCCTTCTCTGCCCACTTGTTTTTCACATATGAAAGGCAGGTTTTTATTTTCCTTTTCTTTCTTTATTTAATAAATTTATTTATTTATGTTTTATTTTTGGCTGCGTTGGGTCTTCGTTGCTGTGTGCGGACTTTCTCTAGTTGCGGCGAGCGGGGGTTACTCTTCGTTGCGGTGCGCGGGCTTCTTATTGCGGTGGCTTCTCTTGCTGTGGAGTATGAGCTCTAGGCGCGCGGGCTTCAGTAGTTGTGGCTTGCGGGCTCTAGAGCACAGGCTCAGTAGTTGTGGCATACGGGTTTAGTTGCTCCACGGCATGTGGGATCTTCCCGGACCAGCGCTCGAACCCGTGTCCCCTGCATTGGCAGGTGGAGTCTTAACCACCGCGCCACCAGGGAAGTCCAAGAAAGGCACCTTTTTAAAACATTGAGGGAGTTCCCTGCTGGCCTAGTGGTTAGGATTCGGCACTTTCACTGCGAAGGCCAGGGTTCAGTCCCTGATCAGGGAACTGAGATCCTTCAAGCTGCGTGGCATGGCCAAAAGAAAAAAAAAAATTGAGGTTATAGGTTATGTATAATATTATATAAGTTTCAGGTGTATGACACGATTCACAAAATTTAAAGGTTATGCTCCATTTATAGTTATTATAAAGTATTGGGTATGTTCCCTGTATTGTACTGTACATCCTTGTAGCTTGTTGATTTTTCTTAGTAGTTTGTACTTCTTAATCCCCTACCCTTGTGAAAGGCACCTTTTTATATTCTTTGGCTTCCACACTCACATAATTTAGATGCTACTGGAGAAATTAAGGTGGCCAAATGAATTGGTGGATGAGGCTTAGTTTCTGGAGTCCTGGGCTAGATCTGCCATGTGGCCTCATTAGAGGAGGTGTGTAGTGAGGCCACAAGAAACAGCCAGGACCCCTGGGTCTAACCTTGAACCTTCCCCTGGAGACTGTGTGACCTTGGACTAGTCCCTCCCCATCTCCGGCCTATAGTTCCCTTGCCTGTATCATCAGGGTGTTGTGCCAGCTGATGTAAGACTCTGTGATTCACATGGCTGCCTTGGGGGGCTGCCTTGGGCGGCTGCCCTAGGGGTAACTGGTGACAGGGCTGTGGTCACCTTGACTTTTCACTGGGGCCGACCCCGCACTGGAATAGGGCTCCTCCAAGTCTGCCTCAAGGGGCTACTCAAATTGGATGAACTCATGGGAAGATTATCACCCTCCCTTGAAGTCCTCCTGGTTGCATTACCTTCTGAGATGAAGGAAGAGCGACCTCTCCTTCTGAGGGATGTGTTTCTAGAGAATTGGTCCTGTAGGCATCGGCAGGGTTCTTTCTTCTCAGAGGCAGATGCCACTCCTAGGTTAGTGACTACCCTTTTGCTTTGCCCAGTCACCTTGGAAAAAGCAGTCTGAGGCCAGCGGGAGTGAGACCTTGATTTATGGAAGTGCTCTTGGTGCCAATGGGCCCACGCGCCCTGCAGTCACATCATTCCTGGGCTTCATGGGGATTTGGGGAGCTCAAATTTATGGAGAAATAAATTCCTGGGCAGCTGTACCTCCGCCCTGAACTTTGGGCTTCCAGAAAGGCACAGCTACAGGAGGACTTAGAGATTTTCATGGCCTGCTCCTGACATATCTTCCCAAGGTGTCTGTGATAAGACCCAAAGTTATTTGGTTTGTTTCCACTTGTCTAGCTAGTGAAGTACTGCTTTTCGCCGGTTAGCTAGAGGCTTTATGTTTATTCTGAACTTCATCACTCACAAAGGTGTTTACATAAGCAGTCTCCTTTAGTCCTCATAACAACTTTTTTGGGGGTTGGCATAACTAACTCCATTTTACAGACTTCAGCCTTTGGATAACGAGAAAGCTGAACAATTATGGGTGGGGATCTTGCTTCAGGACCTCTTTCTTCTCCAAGGGCTGGAAATTAAAAATTAAAACCAAAAAGCATAGAATCAATTGTCATTTGTACACTCAACTATGTTTTGAGTGTCTTGTGATTTAGGGCAACCAGACTGGATTCCCTCCAGGCATAGGGCTAAGGAAAGTTGAATTTAGCGGGGAAATACCTGATGATTTTATAGCCTGGGAGAGTTTTGTCTCTGAGAAAAACTCACTCCACCCCAATAGATCCCTGTGCTGGGACTCAGGGGCCTTCTCATCCAAAATTCAGAATTTTATTTGCCTTCGACTAATGGGCCATCGTCTTCCATCTCTCTGGCTGACCCTCTCTCGTTTCCAGCCGTCTTCTGAGCATTCCCACCTGGGGTCCCAGTGGCCTCCAAGACTGGCCCCTCCTGTCTCATCTCTCCCTGTGATAAAACCAGCTCTGCTCCCCTCCTTGTTCCTCACCTCCAAGCCTTTGCTCACTTCCATATTGGATCTGGGGTGCCATTTCCTCCTTTTCCATGTGGCCAGTTCCTCACCATTTAAGATTCAGCTCCAACTTTCTCCTCCCTAGGAAATCACTTCTTGTCCACCTCCATTGAAACATCCTCTGCATCTGCCATCCATGTACATAACACCTGGTTTAACAATTACCCATTTATATGTCTGTCTCCCCAGACTGTGGGCATTTTGAGGACATGGCCTATTCACTTTATTTTCCTTGTAGAACTTATTGCTATCTGCAATAAGTTTGTTTTTAATTCTTTACGAATATATTTATCATCTGAACTTCTCACACCAGAGGTCAAGAACTATGTCTATCTTGTTCACTGTTGTGTCCCCAGAGCCTGGCACAGTGACCGGGCACCCAGAAGGTGGCCAGAAAACATTTAATGAATGAACAAGTGCGTCTTTGTCTCCAAAGTGCCTGGCTCGGGACCTAGCACATAGTAGGTATGTAGTCAGTATTGGTTGAAGGAAGGAGTAAATAAAAACAAAGGGTGAGCTGTCCCTGTTCCTTGTAGAAGGTGAAAAGAGAGATGGGGTTAAGGGTGGGTTGTTTGGGGAGAAGGGAGCCCAGTGGAGACCCAGGCAGCTTTAATCTCTGAGCCAGGACTAGTGCAAGGTGAGTGTACAGAATTTAAGGTGGTCAAAAAACTCGGTTCATTAAGATAAGTAATATTTTAGTGCACTATTAAAAAAATGCAAAAAAATTCATGACAAACAAAACATCAAAATTTTTTTTTTTTTTTAGCTTAAGTGGAGTAGATACTCCCATTTATGAAGTTCTTTACATCCAGACAACAGTTCTTTGGAGAGACAGTTATTATCACATTCATTCATCAAATGGTCACTGCGTGCCTCTGTGTGGCAGGCACTTTTCTAGGCATCAAGCATTCAGTGGTGAGCAAAGCAGGCCAGTTCCTGACTTCACAGGCCTCAATACCCTTCTTTTCACTTAAAAGGAGTGGAAACCCCTAGAAGCTCACAGTCTGCCTCAAATCCTCCACGTCATAAACGGCAGAACCAGTTCCCCTAAATCAGGAATTCTTAACTCGAAATCCGTGTTGGGTGCTCTTGTAACATTAAAACATCAAAATTTTAAGTAAAGGAAGTATTCTCCAAGAAAAACCAGAGAACTGAGTCAGTCAGGGGAACTGGGAGCAATCACCCTGGTTCCTTTTTGTCCTGGTGAAGACCAGAGTCTACTCTTCCTTTACTTATTTTTAGTAACTTCTCCATCTTATCTTAGTCTTGCTAACCCCTGTTTGTTTCCCTGAAGTTAGCATTAGAGACCTTTTAGGATACGTCAAGAGGGTTGGGTGCCTTTGCAGGGACCAGAGTGAAGGAAGGAGTGAGCCTGGGTGGGCAGGAATGGGGGAGGAAACGGATGGTGGTGATCACAGCCCAGGCCTCCGCCTGGTCCAGCCCTCTGATCTATGGGGGGTGGGGGGAGGTG